CTACAGGGTAACATTTTTTCTCCCAAACCAGCCCTATCTTCGACCAAAAGAAATCGAATTCGGTTAAACTAGATTAAGGATGGGACATACTACATTAACCCATCAGTATCTGAAATAATAATTACCTAATTCATCACTTATATCAGTTTGCAGTTTCTTGTACACGTTGAAAAACTGTCAAAGCATGTCTGACCTATAACGGTTTTACACTACTTACCAGAATACGGACACCCTACTCGACGCTGAATAAGTACAACGAAACTCTACCTTCATATTCTAAATCATAGTTAAATCTATTTCAAACACAAATTCGCCCACTCTTCCCGTTAAACACCTAGCACGAATGTAGAACTAACATTCGCGACCGAGTACAGCGGTGAAAGCGAAAATTCGTTTCAATCAACCGAGGCGAGGCTCTGTACGGGCCGGAGAAGCGAGTTCTTTTTCCGCCGGGACGATAAACAGTCGCGTGTACCGTGGGTCGGGAACGAGCCAAGGAAAATATTCAATTTCGTCTGTGCGCTTCGGGGCCAGGCGAGTGCAGTTCGGAGATTAAACGTCCTGGCGACGCTTAATTAAATGCGCCAGCGGAGTGTGTCTCTTGCGATGCAGCTGTGCCTGCGTACACCGTAGAAAGCCAGTAGTAGTGTCCTTTATTAAACCCAGCCATATTTCGGCACGGTCCCCATACGACGCATTCCCGACGAGAAACAACCGGCCGAGATGGAGTACAGCGACGACGACTGCGACTTGTGTTCCCTATCGCCGCGACACCTGTACCACACTTCCGGGGAACATTAATAGCCGGCGAAACGAGGAATATAATAAGAACACGATCGTTAAGATACTCAGGTGTGTATGTGTAGAGAATACGTGCCCCGATCCTCTTTCATTTTCACGTACCTCGTGGATCTCATGCTGAATCGGAAAACGGAGAAACTAATCCTGTCGGATACTCGGTGCTCCGTCTTCATAGAAATCCAGTCGAACAAGTTCGCCCCTCCGGGGACGGAAAGTTCTACAGTCACCCCTTTTACGATACTTCGGAAATTTTTATTCGAAACTGCTTGCCCGAATCGTGCCACCCTCTGCCCGGTTCAACTTTAAACGTTGCCAACTCCCTGACGACATTCCGAGGAGTTTCGTAACTCCTTGCTGGAGTAGACAACCGATTGGAGATTAACGGACACTGATTTGTCCTCGATTCAGAGATTTGTCTGCTCTTGGAAAATTGGACCGGCTGGGGACTACTTGGAATTGCCATCGGTCTGTAATTGGAAATCTCTGATAGGCATTGACGAAAAAGACTCGATGATTTGAAGGTCCCCTACGTCTGAAATAATCACTCTTCCTCTATCACTTATTATAAGTATGAGTCTTCTGTGGCCTCCGATGGATCAATGGTTACACCTTGAAAATACCTTTATGAATTACAGTTGCAGTGGTTAATCTCTCAAGTTCAATCGTTTTGCAATTAAAGATCTCTGGTAAGCATTGAAGAACTCATTGATTTAAACACCTCTACATCTGGAATATGTATTTACTATTTTTAACATTCCTCCAATATATCAGTGTCTATGTACATCTAGCACCTGTCGTGTTGATTTCCAGTGATCTCTAGTTAGTTGATTACACCTTGGAAATACGTTACAAATTCAAGTAGCAGTCTGGCCGATTAAACTCTCAAACAACACGACAACGTGTAAAACATTCTCCTCGAGCGTCCAGTAAAAGTAACTCCTCGAACCGTAGCTCTTCGCTCTAATTAAGAATGAAATTCAAGCGTCTCGCGAACAACGTCGAGCATTACCGGCACGAGGCTCGTTCGAGAAATCGTATTAATAAACCGAGTTATGTTACGACGCGTAATCAGGCTTCGGCACGGGTGCACGCGACCGGGAAATGGTTAAAAACATGCATTATGCGTGTGCATTAATTAGAGAGCCCATAGGCATAGGAACGCCGGAGAATTATTGATTTTTCTACTTCGTTGCCTGCTGTGACCCGCCTTTAACGCGAGACACCCGACAAAGTTGCACCCTTAACTCGATGCGGAATGCGACCAGCGGTGAAACCAGCTGCGATTTCTGTCGTCTGGTGTTCCTGAACACGTTCGTACGCGTGACCTCTTCGCCCACGGACGACGAACACCGTCCCTCTGAAACCCTGTCGGGCAGTCATCCGACCATATTTTTCGGAAAGTAACGGGTCATCCTGTATGTGACGGGACCTGAACCCGGAAGATTTACCTTTGGACATTAAATTACGACCGGGCTGATCTTCGGGATCACGATTCTTCCGACGGGATTCAGGAGCCGGAGGTGCTGGCGGCTGTGTCTGACGTACGAAATCTACGAAGCGTACCAGATAAGGTTGGCAATAAACTGCGCGGTAGTACGAGTCAATTCAGTTAATCTCTGATGTGATACTAAAAGACTCTAAATTGTGGAGCTGTGTATTAAAAGATTCAGTTACGTATCAATGATGATTTAAAATAATAGTAAAATTAGTGATTATTGGGACTTCTATGGTTTAACACTTGTGAGAATCGTTATCTTTGTGCCAGGATTCATAGACGGTTGTACTTTCCATGTTGGATCAGGTGCGGATCCAGATTATTTGTCTGATAACGAACGGTTACGTTCTACTCGTTCAATTATGCGTGGTCACAGTGTACTCGTCTGCGATAAGATAAACCTATTCTACTACCACCGTCCAGTAGAGTCTCAATGAACATTCAGTGAAGGTTCTGTACTGTTTCCCAGAATATCCTCAGTTCTTGTGGTTCGCTCTGGCCATAACTGCTCCGTGTTCTATCCCTGGATTCGCTGAGATTGTGGCTTATTTGTCTGTATTGAAATAGACTTAATCTACTGGGTCTAGCCTGTTCGTAGATGGACCTTTGTTACTTGCTGCATCGTTGGCCGTAATTGGTCCCACCGCAAGCGATTCTATTTCATTCAGAGGTCTATGTTCCAAGAATAATTGTGGGCTGTGTGCCCGATAGAAACAGCGTTATTCTACCTATTTAGTCGTAAGCAATATAATCTCCCAAGCGGTATTCTATTTCCAAGCATCGAGAATGTGAAATACGATTTTTACGACAGTACATTTTTCTTAGCCTGTGAGTCGTATGTTACGCAAGGTAAACGAAGAATAAATGCCCTTTTATCGGTTAATCAGCATCTAATCCGTTCCCCGAGAACGCCCTTACGTTACAGAATTACGCACGAAAAACTTCGCGTGCGTTTTTATCATTTTATCATGCATTAACATTTTCTCGGAATATTTCTCACGCACACAACACCACTAGGCAATCAACTCGTACCATGTGTCACCTACACACGCACACACACTAAGTTACACCTGGTCGTTTCCCCGCGGAAAGTTATCGGGCGAAAGGAAAGATCTCGAATCGCAAAGAAAAGTGAAAGCACACTGCCAGAGGGGAGAGAAGGGCGGGCAAAAGTATGTTAATATCGTCACGAAAGGTGGGATTAGCATTCGCGTCGATAACACGCGCCGGCGCTCCCTTCTACATATCGTGTAGGAACGATGCACTAGGTTTCCATGTGAAAATCGCTTACGAAGATGTGGAACGCAATCGGCCCCGGGGCTTGAGAAAAATTTATTCCCCCGATTCCAGGACGGCGGCACAGCGGCACTCGCATCAATTTCCATTCGCTCCCCGAAGGTATTACGAATTCACCTCTGTTTAGCTTCGATACACGCAAATATATATATCGGGTAGCGATAAGGTCTAAGTGAAAAAACGGCCAGATGAGAGGGAATATCTGATACGGACGCTAGTAAGCCCTTAACCCGCTGTTTCGCGGAATAATTAACGTGTGTGTACACCTACTCCGGTTAAACACATTGAGCAAACATGTTGTTGGAAAATTAGAATTCTGACGAAGAATTCGACTTGGGGCTACGAGGAATTCTAGTTCTAGTTTGAACACCGAAAGCTGACCATTCGAGAGGTTAGATACACCACAGGCGCGCGCAAATGTCCACCGGTGCAGCGGTTAATATTAAACTCTTGAAGTTAACCCCGCCCCGCATCAACTACCCGGGTTCCGGTGTGTAATGTTTAACAGTGTAAACCCTGGTGAACTTAACGCTCGGCAAAAGGTATCAAAACATTTCCCTGTATGGTACACCGGTTACCGCAGCCTCCAGAGGGTGGGCGTTAAGTAACACAGTGAACTTCGGTAGCGCGAGAAACTCGGTTGCAGTTGCTGAGCAAATAAAATAAGACAGGTGATTGTCAGTCGAACATAAAGTAAATCTAAACAGTGGAACAAGTAGGACGGAGTTAGTGCTCAAGATAGACGAATCCCTTGCGTAGGAAGGTAGGATCATGTATAATAACAGACAGTTAAGTTGGGTTTGTTACAAGTACCATTGCTAACTTTAGAAATAACCGAAGTTAAATCAAACTACATTGAGAATGAAGTGAAGCTAAGCACAGTCGGTTTATGAAGTGTTTGTGTTATTCTTCGTCAGGTGGATGGGTATTTACCCTCGCAAGTAGAACAGGCGCATCAATGATCAGACAAAGATTACTGTATTCTGTATTCAGAATACAGTAAGTAGAATATCCCCATCTGTGATCAAACACAGTCACCTTCAGTAAGGTGTAGAATAAGATTCGTGCGTAGCCAAAAGCTAAACAAGTTTTACTCTAACAATAAGTAAGGTCTGTAATTGCTCAGACAAATATAACCGTATTCTGAATATAATAATCAAAAATTACCCTCGTCTAGGATTAAACTCAGTCACTTGCAATGGAAGATGGAATGACAGACATCTATAGCCAAAATACTAACCGGATCCTTTTCAAAGTAGAATAGGACAGTCATTGATCAACCAGTCGATCTTTAATCATCCTTACTCCTGTTCGCAGGAGCCGAGGCAACAGCTCCTCCGACTGTAATCGAGGGAAACGATGAGCGGATCGGGACGAGCCGGGCAAGGAGCGGCGCGATAATAATAATATGTGGACAACGTGGCCGCGGACGAGGCGCAAGTGGAGTGGCTCGTCGCGTGGCAGACATGGAGCCCGTGGAAGCCGCGACGGTTTTCGTTTCATCTACTCGGTGGTATTGGCGGCGTGTATGGCCGCGCAGGAGGCAAGGAGCGCCAAATGCCCGCCCCCGGACACGATACCGGGCTGTCCCTGCTACAATTTCGAGGACGGTCTGTTTCTGGAATGCGCCGGGGCGACCGAGGAATCCCTGAGGAGCGCTCTGTCCGGCGTAATACACGCCGCCGAGGGAGAAGGTACGTACGGGCACGGTCTATGACGGGTAAATACATTAGGATAAAACGGGGGGGATTTCGTTTTCGTTGGATGGCAGGATATTCTTGTCCTTTCTCAGGAGACCGTAGTAAACGAACCCCGGGACCACGGAACCGGAATCACTGTCTAAATATGTTCAGAGCGTATTCTTAAGCCGGGGATCTCACGTGGATCGTAGTTTTGAAATGCTAAATTCAAATAAGCTTTCCTTCCAACAGCCCTCCCTAATTCAAGATAAATTTCTTTCTCGTTGTTCCAGGTGCGATAGTTCAGTCGCTTAGCGTTTACGAATTGGATAGAAAGGTAGAGGAGCTTCGATCGGTTGCGTTCCCAGCCGGCTCGCAGATCAGACATCTACAGATATCGCATTCGGCGATTCGCGAGATAAACGAGGACGCGTTCAAACGGTTAAGCAAGAGCCTGGAATCTCTGGCACTGGTTTCAGGCCGACTATCACACGTGCCGCAAAAAGCTATGGCTACCCTGAGCTCGCTGAAAGCGCTGGACCTTGAGGCGAATCTCGTGCACGAACTTCCTAGCTATAGCTTTTATGGACTGTCCTTGATCAAGCTGAACCTGAAGGGCAATCAGATAGTAAAAATATCGGAATACGCGTTCGCTGGATTAGAGGGGACCCTGACGGATTTGTATTTGGCCGAAAACAAAATTAGGGTATTCCCGATGACATCGTTAAGAAGACTGGAACACCTGACGTCCCTTAGGCTCGCCTGGAACGAGGTGTCCGAGCTCCCGGAGGACGGTTACTCCAGGCTGGACGCTCTGAATTTTCTCGATCTAAGCAGCAACAACTTCAAAAGGATCCCGTTGAATTGCTTCCGTTGTTGTCCGTCCCTGAAGATTTTGTCTTTGTACTACAACGCCGTCGAGTTCGTCGACAAAGACGCGTTCATATCGCTGATCGATTTGGAATCCATTGATCTCAGCCACAATAAAATCGTCTCCCTCGATGTCGCCACGTTCAGAGCGAACCAGAGGCTGAGATCGATCGATCTCAGTCATAATCATATTCACTATATACGCGGTGTATTCTCGAAGCTACCCGAGCTAAAGGAGTTATTTCTGGCCGAGAACAACATACTGGAAATAGCAGCAGAGACGTTCGCTGGTAGCACAAGCTTATCGGTGGTGTATCTTCAACAGAATGCAATCAGAAGGATCGACGCTCGCGGGCTGGTCACTCTGAACCAGTTGGCACAGTTGCATCTAAGCGGTAACTACATCGAGAAAGTGCCGCGAGACTTTCTCGAGCACTGCGAGAATCTTTCTACCTTGTCCTTGGACGGGAACAATATCCGTGAGCTTGAGGTCGGTACTTTCGCGAAAGCGAAATGGTTAAGGGAGCTTCGCCTCCAGGACAATCAGATTACCGAGGTGAAACGGGGCGTGTTCGCGCCTTTGCCCGCGCTTTTGGAGCTACATCTACAGAATAACGCGATAACGGACATGGAGACCGGGGCTTTGAGATCCCTGCACAGCCTGCAGCACGTGAACCTTCAAGGTAATCTACTGGCGGTGCTGGGCGACGTGTTTCAAGTGTCGAACGACGTCGGCCAGAACGGTAACAGCGGCAGCTCGTTGGTCTCCATTCAGCTGGACAACAACGGACTGGGCGTGTTGCACAATGACTCTTTAAGGGGCCAGGCGTCGGTCAGAATCATGTGGCTTGGACACAACAGATTAACCCGCCTCCAGGCGCCTTTGTTCCGGGACCTGTTGCTGGTCGAACGATTATATCTGACAAACAACTCGATCTCGCGGATCGAGGACACCGCCTTTCAGCCGATGCAGGCTCTCAAGTTCCTCGAACTCAGCATGAATCGACTCAGCCACGTGACAGTGAGAACTTTCTCGGAGTTGCACGAGCTCGAGGAACTTTACCTCCAAGACAATGGGCTCCGTCGTTTGGATCCGTACGCTTTGACCGCTCTCAAGCGGCTTCGCGTACTCGATCTGGCTAACAACCATCTGAACGTGCTGCACGATAAGATCTTCCAGGAGGGTTTGCCGATTCGATCGTTGAACTTGAAGAACTGCACCGTTAGCGTGATCGAGAACGGTGCATTCCGGGGTCTCAGTAATCTTTACGAATTGAATCTCGAGCATAATCATCTCACTGCCATCGCGTTAGATCGTCTAGATATTCCGGGATTAAGAGTTTTAAGGATATCGTATAATAATTTTAGCCAAATCAACGGCAACTCCTTGGACGGGTTGCCGTCTCTTTTACATCTAGCCATGGACTCGTCCCAGCTGCACAGAATGCCACCAGAGATATTCTCCAAGAATAAGAACCTTGCGAAACTGTTGCTCAGCAACAATCTCCTGCGAATTCTGCCAAGCCTGCTGTTCTTCGGTCTGGACACCCTGAAAGAAGTGAAACTAGACGGCAATAGATTCCAGGAGATCCCGTACGATGTGTTCGGCAACGCCACTACGGTCGAGTTCCTGTCATTTGCTAACAATGTAATCCTTAACGTGGACATGTCGCGACTAAACGGATTGGCCAGTCTGCGGGAACTCGATTTGCGCGGTAATTACATCATGACCCTATCTGGGTTCGCCGGCGTGAACCTGTCCCGTCTGATATCCGTGGACCTCAGTCATAATCATTTGACCGCTTTGCCGGCAAACTTCTTCGCTCGTTCGAACTCTTTGAGAAAGATCGAACTGGCCGCCAACAAATTCCACCAGATACCGGCGGTCGCTTTGTCCGCCCAGAACATTCCGAGCTTGGCTTGGCTGAATGTCACCGCGAATCCACTGGTCAGGATACACGAGATCAGCTCCGAGGCTAAGTATCCGGCTCTCGAGGAGATCCACATATCGGGAACGAATCTGACCATCGTCACCAGCCAGGACTTCGAAGCGTTTCCCGCGCTGATGCATCTGTTCATGGGCAACAACATGATCTCCAGAGTGTCACCCAGCGCGTTCCGTAGTCTACTCGAGCTGTTGACGCTAGATCTAAGCATGAACGAACTCGAGCTGCTGCCGCAAGAGAGATTAAAGGGGCTCGAACATCTCAGGCTTCTTAATATCACGCACAATCGGTTGAAAGAGCTCGAGGACTTCCCACCCGACCTGAAGGCTCTACAAGTGCTGGATCTGTCGTATAATCAGATTAGCGGGGTCGGCAAAAGCACGTTCCAGCACCTCGAGAATCTCGCTGAACTTCACCTGTACGGGAACTGGATATCCTCGATTTCCCCGGACGCGTTCAAGCCACTGAAGAAATTGCGAATCCTGGAACTTTAAGATTCTTTATTCATTCCAAACATTTTGTTTGTTTTGTCCATTCGAAAAATAATAGTTAACGGATGATAATTGCGGGAAATAGTTCAGAAAAATATTGAAATTTAATAATTCTATAATCGGATGAAATTTGACGAAACTTGTCCTTCCAGAGAATCCACTGCACTGCGACTGCGAGTCTCAGGAGCTGTGGGAGTGGCTGCGCGATCACCAGAAATTAGTTGGCGGTGGTGTGGGTCGGAATCGAGGGGGTGGCGGTGGGTTGCGAGTGAACGACATGGACAGCGGATTACTGAGGTGCGAACAGCCGCCGGAATTACGGGGACTGGTATTCCTGGACCTGGATCCGCACGCGTTCTGCTCCGCGCCCCTCATCCTCAAGCTGGCGATCCAGGACATACAACCGTTTTCCGTATTGGTGTCCTGGCAGAGCAGGAATCACTCGGGTATTAGAGGTTATCAGGTAGCCTACCACGCTATGGAGAATATTGACGAGGTATACAGGCCGATAAACATTTTTTTCCACTATACACCCGCACGATAAATATAGAGATCTTTTGTTTCTTCTCTTCATTTTTCCAGAATTTCTCTAGCACTCTTTGCGTCTCTGCTCTTGCAACTTTTTCCTTGCCAGCTACAGTCACGATCTCTTCTTCAACTCTGTTTTCCTTACTTATAACCTCTACCATATTACTTAACAACTTGCTTCGTTCTTCCATCGTGCAGTGTATACCTAGCCACTCTATTTTTTGCTCCCTGTTTCCAGCACTTACTACCACCTTTTTACCATCTATTTCCTTTATTTTCACTCGCAACCTCTTCTACTATCTCTATGCAGCTATTCCTTTGCAATAAACGTCGGAAACTATCTGTTATTCTAAAAAGTCCAAACTCGCGCAACCTCACCAAGTCCGAAATATAGAGATTTGGTATTATCTCATTTTTGCTAACACTGTATACATATATACTCAGCAAATATACATACAACTAAAACATCTTGCGCTACGTGGAAGGTCCACCCTAATCCACGTGGCGATATTACATCGGGTACTAATTTAAATTCCAGATTAAAGCAAGGATCCTCGAGCCAAGCTCTCGTTCCACGAAACTATCCAAGCTGTCCCCAAACACGCGCTACCTAATCTGCGTGCTCGGCCTAGGGAACTGGATGTCCCAGCACCTCGAGGAGGACACGGTGGATCAGTTTAATTTCTCCAACTACGAAACATTCGAATCAACTTCGGACGTTCAAATGGCCGACACCTCGACCAGCCGTTGCACCGAGGTTAAAACCTTGGAGACGCCGGACGCAGTGATCAGCAGCGACGGCGCATCGATAGGTGACGTTGGTAGCGTCAGCAGCTTCCTGACCAGACGTTTGGGCCTTATAGTCGGCTGCTGTATGGGTTTAGTGGTATTTCTGTTGCTGGTGTCCGTCCTAGGATACCTAAAAGTGAAGAAACAACGGGAGACTGTGAAACGGGAGCAACCGATACCCCCAGAGTACATTTCCTACAGACACTTCAGCATACAAAGCGGCGAAGCTGGGAGGCAAGCCAGCCAAGAGGGTCACAACTCGAACTACGTGAACAGCATGGGCAACACCAATCTGAACGTATGAGACAAGCCAAAAAACTCCCGACTCGTGGAGGTTTCGAACGTTTGATCAGGTCCAAGACCGAGTGTCCAACTCTTGAACCTGGCTACAAACGCGAAACACACCCGACTCGCGGTAGTTTTTCACAGAGAATAACAAAATTCCTGTTCATTAATGAGTGAAACAGAAAGGAGAACCATTACCTACGATCGATTATGCTCTTCAACGGGGGAATCATCTCGTGAAATTATTCCACCGAATCGATTCGATCGCCAACGAAGAACTCGAACCGAATCCCGTGTACGCGTGTCAGTACGGGACGCCGAAAACGGTTCATTTAGATAATCGAGCATTTTATATTGTGATTTTCTACGAATCTTAACTTTACTCGACCACCGTCGAACGCCGATGGGAGAATTCCGTGCACCGGGTGTATGTTGTGACAGTGAACCGAGTCGAGAACACACGAATGGATCAGACGAGATCATTCCTAGGTCGTGTGTACGGTGGCGCGATTCGTTGAACGATTTACGACCGAGAACACTCGTGCGTACATGTCCAGAAGGTTGCATTGTATTTTCGAAATGGCGCGGCAAACCGATCCACGCGGATACGGACAATGCGACAACACACACACACACACACACACACATAGGCATACACGGTGTTTCGCGGAGGCGTATTCTTGGATTTCCTATCGTCGACGCGCCAAGTGGCCGGCGACCTGTCAGACGATGATGAATACACGTGTATGCATCGTTCGGTGATCGTTTCGGAAGCGAACTGACGATTTTGTACATAAAACGATCCCCACATGTCCGAGTCGGTTGTGAACCGACCGTTGAACAATTAAGCGAACACCTTTCGCCGACTCTTCATTCTAGCGGAACGTAGTTCAATTTAATAGGATCCAGACGCATCGATTATCGCTTGTCTCGACACGGTAGAAAAAGAGCAAACATTTGCCAACAAAGAAAAAAGAGGGCGAAAGATAATAAATGAACACCAGAGTGAACATCGTGACGATGAATGGTGTGTCGAACGTTCACCTGGGAGTTCGCGACGTTGAATTGTCGAACAACGGAGTCACATTGTTATTATCGCGATCCGTCGAAAACGAACGTTTCGATATCGGCGCGGTTCGTGTATCGCGCTCTTTGCTGTACCATATATAGCCTCTGTCCACGGATGTTATCAGGAACACATTGGAAATTAGATTCCGCGCTGCGTAATATCCAGCGAATTGCGGTTCAGGTGATACGGATGGAGGTGTGAGTGGGGAAGAGGGTTTATAGCGGGTATCTCGTTGTCAGAGTGGCAGTAAAAGAGAGATAGATAGATAGAATGCGAGAGAGAGAGAGAGAGAGAGAGAGAGAGAGAGAGAGAATGGTGATGAATTGTGTGTTCGTCGGATGAAATGGAAAATAAACGCTCGATTAGGTATGCATCGTTTCAGTTGCATACCGAAAGATCTCAGATGTACTACCACACACTGTGTCATGTAATATATACGTACGTCACTGTAATAAAAATGCAACTTCTTTTTTAAGCTAGTATTTCTCACGAAATACGTTCGACCCCGTAGTTGTATCTTTTCGCGTTCAGTTTCTTTTAGGATCGTGAATGTTCATGGCTCCCCTGCGATCGAATTACAGCCAGGAATTCTATTACAGAGAGAAAAAAAAAAGACGGAAGGAAAAGAATTTCTTTGAACGTCCGAAGCTAGTCGTCTCGCGAGAAGACGGAGGTTATCGTATTACACGCGACGAAAGCCTTCTGTACCATTCACGGAACTTTAGCCGAAAATTCTTCGGATATTTGTCGTTGTTTCGTCGCGGAATAAGCTGTAACCAACGGATCACAACGTCTGAGAGAACCCTTAAATTGTTCCGTCCAACAATTCCGAACGTTCCCCGCGAATTCAAGATACCCCAGGGTCCGGAGAATGTGTTTCCTAGACATTCGCGAGCGGTAATCGGAATCCTTAAAAGACACACGGTTCCCAAAACTATCCCAGAGCGGAGGTCGATGTACATCTCTTGCTCTCTCCTTTCACGGTAACACGGAGGAACTGGTTCTCTCCGCGGCTCGCATAAATTTTCCAACGTATCGACGAAACGCTTCCCGTCCGCTTTATCGTATTTCCTTGCAATTAACCCCCTTACCCCCGCAGCACCCTGACGCCGTTTCCCAGGAAAAGAGAAGGCGGTCTGCATATTTCATTCGCCTCTGGCGAGGCGCGCGGAGAAAGGGCCACCGCGCCGCGTTTCCTCGCTTTCCCTTCTTTCCGGCGTCGAAGGGACGGTGACCCATCTCCCTTCCCTGACGAATCGAAATTCGTAAGTCTGGGTGGGGACGAATCCTGGAACGTGGACGTAATATCCTGAATGTAACTCAAATTTCGCCCAGCTCGTGCAGTTGCTAATTATAACCCCGTCAGGTACGTTATTGAGCTGAAATGGTGGTTATTATTTCGGATAACGATAAAATTCTCATCTTTTTTCATGAACAGTAGGGTCTCTCGTATTAGAGCTAGTTAGATAGACGAAAACCGTCGGACAAAGGAATTTTCGAATAATAGAATAATCATTTCTCGGATACCAAACGTTATGTATTTAATTAGATATCAAGGCTTAATGATTTACCAACTCAAGGAATTCAGAACAATAAATAAGGGTATTAACAATCATAATTGGGAAAATCTTTTGACTGGTAAATTACAGAAATTTTTCAATGTCAGTAACTGCATAGAATTCGATCTTCGTATTAGTAACAGGAGAAGGTAGAAAAAACTGTACATACGTGATTTCCAGACAATTTTTCATTGTAAATGAAATTACTAATTACAAATTGTCAATAATCAGGAATTTCATCTGGTAGTGGTGCCCCTCGTCATAGACGGGAATTTTCCCGTACATGCAGGAAACACGAAATTGCTCGCTGGAGGGAAAAACGGGTGAAAAAAAAAACACGAGCAAAAGTCACAACGCGTGCATTTCCCTCGACTGATAGGGCTGTCCATGCCTCTCTCGTTTCGCTCTTTAATCTCGTTTGACGCGGGCTTCGGCGGCAGGCCATCGCGGCCGCGTTCTAAATGAGCCTCATTAATCGCGGCTTAAAATGTGCCCGGATGCATCCTGCGGGAGAAAAAAACGCTGCATCGGGATATCTGCTGTTTTCAGCATCTGACCCCGTCTGGTCCAGCTATGCTCAAGATATTCACCTAGAATCTACAGTGTTCGGTAATTGCTAGTACAACTAGAAATAGGGTGATACTATATAAAAAAATAAGTCGAAAATATGTAGGAAAATTTATTTATTTCAAACTCCGTTTCATGAGAAAATCGACTTTGAAAATCAATTGGCTACGCGTGCAATTAAAATAAGACCTGGCTAGCGTGTCTGTTCATTGCATTCCGTTTCTACTTACTATAAACATAGTCGTTTTTTCGAAAACAGAGCCTCGTACGAAAAACTTTCCTTCTACATTTTTGACAAATTTTTTTATGTAGAATAACCTCATTTCCGTTTGTAGCGCGACTTCCCGAGCACCCTGTATATGTCTCGAATACCCATGCTGGCGTGTCTGACCGTCACAGATCTTTTCTACTTGTCGCGAACACAGACACGAGTGCTGCAGGTAAATGTTCAAAGTGGATTTTCTCGAAAGCGAAGCTTCGTTCGAAAAAAGTTTACTTTACAATTTCAGTTTATTTTTGCACGAGGAATCACTGTGGTCTCGCTTATACCACGAATTTTGCAGCAAGTTGTGTCTATGCACATGTTTTATGATGTAGAATCAAAGAGGGTGATTCCATTTCCAGTTGTACCACCTCTGGATCCCTTCTATGTTCAATCCCGGGGAATCGAGCTTAATCGAAATGTCCTCAATGAAATTATTCGAGACGTCTTACAAATGCTAGGTTGCGTTGGCAACCGCGTTGTCGCAAACGTTTCGCGTCAAAGCGCGACGTACAAACGAGTAAAAATCGGGATACAGTGCCGGAAAGGAGCCCTTTCAAGACACTCGAGAAGCGTCGCGCTGAAAGACGAGCCGCGGAAAAAAAAAACGCGCCTGTTACGACGAGACGCGGAAACATCGTGGAAACACAAGCAGCTACTTTCATGTTAGCTCCGCGAATCGAGACTGTTTAAGAGCACCGTGCGAGCACGTCTGTCGGCAAGTAAGTAGCTCCTTCGGGAAATAAAAAACACGTCTTTCCATGAAAAAAATATTTCCCTACCCTCTTTCGAGACGGTTTGAATCCCCCCCTTCGCCACGGAAATCTTTTGTGTGCCATTGACTCAAAGAGGAACGAAATCGAATATAACAGCCTGACAGATTCTCCGTGGAATATTCCATAGTCTACGATGAAGTGGCCACGCAGAAAGGGTCAAGGTCATCAATTTTTAAACAGACTGGATCGGAGTTTCAATGTATCTCGTGAGAGTTCAAACCAGTAGCAATTACGTACGCGTCGATAACGACAGTTTAAATCTGGACTTAAAGTCGGTCTTAATTACTTCGCCAGGATGATTAAGGCCACGAATAACTCTACCGTTGCCGCGGGCTGAATAGAAATGAACCGATAAAAGTGTCGTCGGATATAGGAACCGACTAGAAAGTAATAGGACCTTCGAGAATTCGATTCTCACATATCAGCCGGGTGTCGATGAAATTTCGTCGTGGTCCACCAGAGTCTCTTACTATTAACCGAAGATATTGGACGCGAAAGATTGATCTCCTTAATACTTACAATTGCCAACATCGAGAGAAGAAGGTGAATCGGTAGAAACGACGCGTTTATTACTACTGAGATTTTCGGGTGTAAATCTTCAGTGCCTTTGGAAGAATCACCTGACGAATTTTAGCGGTAAACTATCTCACATTTTTTCGCCATCATTGTAGCTGGCTTCATCAAGGATATAATACTATCTTGATTTAAAGTACAGTAAATCCTCGATCACTGTCCGATAGCTCTTCGGCACTGAACATTAAATATTTCATAAACTAATGGCCATAT